ATTTTGCAAACTAAGCTCATATCTCTGAACTGTTCAATTAACTTTAATTCTTTAACCATCATTACCGACATATGTAAAGTCTTTCGACTTAAAGCATCAGCCACGACATTAGCTTTACCTGGATGATAATTCAAACTGAAATCATAATATTTCAATAACTCCAACCATCTTCGTTGTCTCATATTCAATTTATTCCAATCAAATAAATACTTTAAACTCTTATGGTCGCTAAATACTTCAAATCTAGAACCAAAAAGATAATGTCTATAAATCTTCAACGTAAACACCACCGCTTCTAACGCTAAGTCACACGTAGGATAATTCCTCTCATGAACTATGAGTTGTCTAGAAGCACAAGCAAAAACTTATTCATTCTGAATTAGCACACCACTAAGTTCCATCTTAGACACATTCATAATACACTACAAATGACTCACTCGGATTAGGCAAAACCAATATCGGACCAGTCGTCAATCTTTTCTTTAGTTCTACAAAACTTTCTTCACATGCAACATCCCATACTTGAAATGATGAACGATTATCATTTTTAATGCCGAACATATCATTTCTCAACTTATTTACCAACAACATATTATGCTTGACCTCGTCTCGAACAACTGCGATAATAATCATTTATGCCCAAAAAGCTTCTAGTTCTGTAACTGACTTCAAGGTCCCTCCACATAGGAATGCATCTACCGTATTCGAAAACACTTCCATAGGATATAATATATTTCTATCTCCTCATCAGTTCAAACGGAACACCAAACCGATACTCAGATCACAAGATATGAATTTCTAAAGTTATCCGAAAATGCAAACACCGACGTCATGCAACGACATACTAATACACACCTTACAATAACATCATAACATAATTTCTTTGTACCAGTACCAATACTTACCATTATTGAAATCGTACTCATCTCCTCGCATTTCTGACTCGCAATTCAAAATATTCCAACACTTCAATAACTTTTACAATCATTCACAAGGGTCCCACGACAAGGTCTACAACAATCTGTCACTCTATCACTGTTCAACATCGATATCTTACACAAGGGCTACTCAAACCGACAACTCCACAGTCCACCAGCAGCGCTGAAACATCTCAACTTTCTAAATTTCATCTTCTAAAAATTATCCTTGTTACTTAACAATCACCTTCAGAAACATCATGGATTTACACTCTACTCGTATATCAACAACCGTTACCTTTCTCCTCATCCTTTGAGAAGTAAACATCAACAATGTCTGATCATCCTCCCTCAATACGCTCCAACTTTATTAACAAACAAAATCTTGAATCCATGTCACCTTCGGATTCGGGAAACAACAAAACCCCAACAATACTTGCACTGTCGCCATCAACAACATACTAAAATAACATCTTACAACTAAAACATATCCGAGAAGCAAAGCTTCTCCCCCACTTTTCTTCAAAGCAACTCCTGCATACAATCAATTTGGAAAAGCAAACAAGTGCCAACAATGTGTTGCACACACGTCACATACTAAGAAACAACACATCGACAATATTCAACTGTCACACTACTCTACTGACTTAACAACTTGGTCGGGCGGACCGACATTGCTCTGATACCAAATTGTAACACCCCAATTCTACCTGACAATAATCATAAAAATTAGAGTTATAAAAATTCAACAACTAAATCAGGATGCTACAATTTCAACTTAAAACAACAAAATTCATTACAGATACATAACACATTAAACTTGGATGAACAAACAACAACATAAATTAATCTTTTAAAAACTAACAACTTTCATAACCAAGCAGTGGAATTATAATATTCAACCTATAATAATATGACATCTTTATCCAACTGAAACAACTTCAAATAACAAGCATTCAGCGAAAAATAACTTAAAATTCAACAACTGAAATAATAACAATAATAAAGCCACAAGCGTTCATCCCCCCGGGTGTTACGTATCAAAGCAATGACACCGACTCAAACTACTGAAGGTAAACCGCCTTCACTCTGGATTACCTGCACGTTACCAACATATGGGTAACATTCTAATAGAAGGGGTGAGATATTGAACGTTATAATAGAACGCATGATAAATAATACGTTAGAAACATTTCATACAAAATCACCACTTCATAGCTTTTAAACAACATTTAACATATTTAATTCAACCACACAATGACTCAGAATGCAACACAGAATGCAACTTGTCTTTATGCAAATGCATGTCGTACCAATGGAGCAGAACTCTCAACTTAGAAATCTTCCAATAAATAGAGACATCAACAAGGCATAAGCCTTCAACTTAATATTTTGCCAATCCAGACCAACTTAACAAGCATCAACTCTAACTTGATATGCGATGTATGCGACACACATGAATGTAGCAACAACAACAAACAACAACTCAACACAAATCAGTGTTGGCGATAAACCTACAGCATCAACAACAATTCAACATAAATTCAACATAAATAAACGTTGACCATGAGCCTACAACTTAATATCTGCCCATAATTAGAGGCATCTCAACATAAATAATCAACCTACTATTTCTCAACTTAGAACAACTTCCACAGCACTGGTATCGACCAATACAACATGCACGGGAAATTGGGATGGGGAGACTACGTGCCCCTCGACATGCACAGCAACCAAGACAACATAACAACTAATTTGTGCTCCTCGACACAGCCAGCAACTTCGTATAGCTCGACAACAATATTGTGCCCCTCAGCATGCACAACAACCAAGAGAGCATAACAACTAATTTGCGCTCCTTGACATAGTCAATAACTTCGTGCAAATCGACAACAATAATGTGTCGCTCGACACGCCTTGCAGCCTAATTCTGCTCGACATCCAACATATATATTCCCTGACACACCTTGCAGCCTATATGCCGCTCGGCACCTAACACCATCAGCATCCTCCTCAACCACTCATTCCGTCCAACAGTATGGAACAATACAACGTCATAACGACCACATCAATACAACCTATAATTTTCGGCCAACCACTCAGAATATCAGAACAACGGGCAACTATACTTCCTATCAACAGATTCATTAATTGTACAAGAAAATCACACAGAAACCTTTCTAAAATGACCATAACAACAATTTACTAATTTTCTGCCAACCGCTCGAAAGGTACGACAACCTAACGACCACCTCAATAGGTAATAATCTACAGCTAACCTATTCATGGATTATATCGGGAAATTATACAAACAAATCAAAATTCCCACAACACGACTAACAGCCAACTTGAACAACATGTTCACTAATCATGTAAGACATTCATACGGTAACTCTCTAAACGACCACAACATAGAAAACGAGCAACTTCAATAGCAGATCCAGAAACATCAAGGCACAACAGTCATACAAACGACCAATTCCCATATAATACACATCATATATCCCATTATAAGGTCAGAACCAAACCCTTACCTGGATTGGAGATCGCTCTACCAAATTCCAGCCGACAACCTTGCTTTGCTCTTCTCGACAACCATGCAACTTTGCTCGACAACCGTGCAACCTTGCTCCTCTTCTACACAACTTCACACGGTCACACACAAGACTTCTTATTCTACCGAATAACCAAATCCTTGTGTCAGCTTAACCTTATAACATCATTTTTGTTGGGCCTAACCTACACACCCCCACTTTACTACTTCCAACCAATAACACAAGCCTAACACAATTATTCAATTAATTTCAATATTATTATTATTAATCAACTAATTATAATAATCTAACAATTTATACCAACAATTCTCAACATCTCACAACTTTTCAACAAATAATGCAAAAATAATTTAGTTAAATAATTAATTAAATTAACGGGCATTACAGTAGTGCAACTCATCAATGGTAGCTTGCATCTCTGCCATGACATCCTCCTTGTCGCTGAACTCACTATTGGTTGAAGTTTCTACCTTCTTTCTCATCATGATGAATGAAGGAATTGAACATGATGATAACAATCTAGTCTTATAATGGTGGCCTAAGTCATTTTCATCGGGGCTTCACGGTTGTTGTCAATTATATTTGCTAAAAATATCTTACATGAAAATCCTTTGCGGTGTAGGATTGTTAGAGGGTTTTAGGGTTGTTGTGGTGTTAGAACAAGCTCACACATGAATGTTGTGAAGTTCTGTGTGTGGTGTTTTGTATAATGGTTTGAATGTCTTTTTATCCTCAAGGTTGAGATATTTATAAGAAACTTATGGGTCTGAGTCTCTGATCCCAAGAATTTAGATTATGCACTTCTCATTCTCAAGAGTGTGAAAATAGGATAGTTATTTCCTCTATTTCTTTGAGGAACGTGACTACCTCCTTTTGTCTCACATTCACATTCTGTTAAGAACTAGAACACATCACCTCCAGTTCTTTATAAAAAGGTGAACGATCTAAAAAATGGACGTTATATCTAAATGATTGATGCTTGTTTCAATAAAGAGGCGGATATGAAATTAGTGTGAATGACATAACATGATTATGTCGCCACCCCCCCTTATCATGCCTCTTGTAAGTCCTTTACAAATATATCAATATATAATTTTTCAAAGTTAGCAAATTAATCTATATATTATTTAGTTAATGTGTCTTATAATTTTTAACTTTTAGTAGCATAGTGCCTATTTTCATATTTTGTAATTTTATAAAATTAGATAAACAAAATTTAAGAACGAATACATTTTAAAACTATTTAAACAATATTTTTAGAAATGAAACGAGTTCATTTAAAGTATTTAAATTTGACTAAAATTCTATTTATCTTAGAAACTTTAATCAAAAGATGTTTTATGGGAACCCTTAAGCCATAAGAGAGAATAACTTGATTGATTAATATGATAGGAAGAGAGCAATAAATATGAGAGATTTAATTTTTTTTTATTATTATGTACAATATATCTTTTAATTCTTTATTAATATAATTTTATCTTTTTATCTATACTAATTTACATGTTTGTGTATATATTTATGAATTTAGACTGGAAGTTCATCTTGGATTGAGGAAACGAAACTTCACAAGGAATATTATGACGATACTATTTGGAAGCAATTTCGAAAACTTCGAAAGGATGAAAGCAGATGGGACTATGTATGTATACTACAAAAATTTAAAACTTCAACCTTTGTACTTAGTGTATGAGTTTCATTTTTAGTTTTTTTGAAACTTAAAAAAATAGAGATAAAATAAATTTATTTTTGGCTTGAAAAAGGTACCACACATATTTAGAAGAAGTAAATGAGAAAAGCAATATTAACTTTCTATGCAATATGGGATAATATAATTCTTTCTTTTCTTTCAAAAATTTCATTTTATTCATTTTCAAGGTATTGGAAAAGTTTGATGTATTCACATTTCATATTTATTATTTGTATTTTTTGTATTGAAATAAATTTTATTTATCATTATGGAAATAATTGTTTGGAGGAAAAAATGTAAGATATGAAAAAAATCACTCAAACCAAGCAATATGCAAGTATCTAATAATTTGCATACAAAGTATATCACTTTCCTTTTTTTATTACCTTACAAAGTTATAATGTTATTAATAATAAAAGAAGTTATTAATTATCTTAATGAGAATATTTTTTTTGCAGAAATATGTACATCGAAGGGAAAATTTTTCATGCAGATCCTTAAATGATGTTAAAAGATATGAGGAGACAGGTAAACGTCCAAGTGAAATCAGAAAAATAAAATTACTGGAAAATGGTGCAAAAACTACTGATGTAAGTTAATAAAATTTGACTATTAACTTGATATTTTTCATTACTATAAAATGATATCTATATTATTCTAACATTTTACTATTACACTTATAAAAAGGATGTTGGGAAGATTGAGAAAATGTTATTAGAGAAAAGAAAGAGAGAAGAAGAAAAATCATTCGTTGAAAAATTCCTAGCAGATGCTCACTACAATCTACTGCATTGGTTTGACGACAAGCAACCTGAATCTGAAGGTAAGTACCAATTATTTAGTAAAATCTCTCTACATGTTTTCAAATATTATTTATGTAAAATATAGTAGCAAGTATATATCATATTTGACATATAAACAATAGACATATATAACTTAAAGAAGGAATTACACATGATTGTTGACAAGTCACAAATCACACATAAAATGTAATTTCATATTAATGAGTGTCTAACATTTCGAAAGCAGGTCTGATATAAATGGGTGGGACCTACAATTATGTCTATAGGAGTGAATGTTAGAAATAAAGTGTTAATATTACTTCTTTTTCTTTGTAACACAATTGATTGTATACCCGATCAGAATTGATCGTCACAGAATTTGAGAGTGAGGTGAGCATATCTGCAGGACACTTTGATGTCAAAGTAAGTTTCGAAATGAGTAAACAAGTATGAGAGTAAAAAATGTTTAATGTCTGATCCTCTCATAAGAAAGGCTATTTATAGCCCCCAGCGCTGGGCCAAAGTCCCCATTGTTGGGCCACATTGAGGTCCAATAACAGAAACTGTTAGGGCTTACGTGTGTATGGAGTTCAGCTAGTGGACTCCCCCTGGTCAACGGTTCCGTGAGAATAAGGGTTGAACCCGTAATTTTCAAAGAACCGTTAAGATGACTTTGACGTAAGGACGTGGGCCACATTCCCAAACGGATACGTGAAAAGTTGTCCAAGAGTCCCTAACTTAGATTATTTACTTTTGAACTTTATACAAAGATATTAATTTAGATCTCTCATCCCTAAAACAAGTATAAGCTCAATCCAAATCAACAAATATAAAAATATATAGTATTTTTTTTCATATTAATAAAGATATTGATAACAACTGTCTAAAAGTATTAGACATGTGCATTCAATTACATAGTCACAAAAATAACTTCATAAATATTTACATGCCAAGATTTGATTGGATGTGTATGTCAAAAGTCTTACACCATTAGTTCATAATTATTAATCTCAATGATAAATAATTATGAAAAAAGGTTAATAATTTATCAATGAAAGGAATGAGTATTTTTATTCTTAAAGTATTTCTATAAAAATAAACATATGCATCTACAATAATTTTGGTATTATTTGATAGATCTTAATTAATGAGATAGTTTTATAGGTCAATTACACAAATATATTAATTTGATTCTAACAAATTATAAGGTCCAATATAAAGATTATATGTGGGACATGATTCTATTTACCATATTTTGATTCCTTTAGAAATAGTGTAAATAAAAGAATGTATGAATTTAACGCATTAGTCCTGGGAAGCTAGTTTGATTTTTTATTTTTTATTTTCTTAAGCTAACACTAATGGGATTGGGGATACTAATGAGTATAGTATGGTGGATAATAGTAAATTATAGGCAAAATTGTCTTTTTGGTTGTTAACTTTATTTTAAGATTTTGTTAATCTCTTAATTTTTAAAAAGGCTAATTTAATCTTTAATTCTGCAAACTATCTCATTTATGTCCTTTCCATCTATTTTTCACTAATACCGTTTACTTTTACATATGTGGCATTCTTGCATCTATTCATCATCTTTTATATTCTAAATCCATCAAAAACCAAAAATTCATATTAATCAATCCAGAAACTTATGCTGTTAAAAACAAAATTGGAAAAATTAAAATCTAGAAGTTTTTTTCACGCTCTCTTTTTCTCTCTCTCCATAAGCACCCTTTTTCTTTCTCTCTGAAGTTTCAATCACGTATAACAATTTTTTGTTCATCTGAGTTGTCGTGATTGCTCGATGTTGGTGATTTGGGGTTGCAATTGAAAAAGTCCCAATTTGAATTTTTGTACTATTGTTTCGCTTGTGCTCGGTGTCGTGATTCGTTTTCATATCACATTCATCAATACATATTTCTGGAAGATCGCAGATTTAGTGTGTTACCGAGATTGTGCATTCCATTATTGCTTTTTGAATCTTGATGAGCTGCGATGAGAGCGCCAGCGTCGAAAAATTCTCAGACAAACGCTAGCTCGATGCAGGCAAGTAATTGGAAACATTCAACTTTTTGGTTGATGATAATTGGTGCTTAATTTTAGTATTCAATGTTGTTTGGAGTTGAAACTTCAATTTTGTTAATTGAATACTTTTGGTGTCTACAATTGCTACTTTCGTTGAGATTTGTTAAAACAATGTGGTTTGGTTGAGGTTGAAAAGAAAAATAAGAAGATAGTTGAGATTCTGTTCAATGCTATTGATGAGAGTAATGAGTTTTTTAGGTGTCATGTTGAGAAATCTATGAGGTTTAAATCCAAATTCAAGAACAACTTAAAAATATTTTTAGTAATGACTTTTTTCATCACTATAGTTGGTCTAAACACGTGGCATTCCACATCAGCATATTACAATACGACTTGGATGATTTTGTTGACTTTGACTAACGGATCTTGATAGAATGACTAACGTGGTGCTGTTTTAAAAGTTAAAGGATCAATTTGAATATTTTAAAAATTAAGGGACTAAATTAAACTTCAAGATGAAATTAAGGAACTAAAAAAGATATTTTACCTAAATTATATAGAAGTATCCTCCTTGTGTTAATACAAACTATATGCTCATATCATGATTAGTAACTGTTATATTTATATAACTTTAGACATTTTCTCTCTACTTAGGGTGATTTTATTTTAATGTTGATTCTTTTTTTTCTTCTATATTAAGATGACTCTGAGGCAACTATTTCAGACTCTCCTGATGACATTTGATCATGTAAAAATTCAAATTAAGGTTAGTTTTTCTATTCAAATTTGCATCACAAATTAATGTGAATATAATGTGCATTATATCATATTATAGATTAATAAATATGCCTGGTTTATTTCATCTTCCTTTATTCATGTAGTAGTAAAATAGTTGTTTCGTATCTTTGTCAATAAAAAAAGCATTTAGGTTAAAAAAATTAATTTATAAAAAATTTTTTTGCAACTTTTATAATTAAATTATAATATTTACGCTAAAACATTGATTTTTATCATTTCATAAAATCTAATCATTTAAAAAAAATTCAAATTTTGGTTAGTGATTATTCTATATTTTCTACCATGTATAGAGATAATATGTGGTCCAACATTTGATATTAATTTGTATTTTAAAATTTAAGTTTTACGATACTGTTTAATGAATTCATTAGGGTTTTTCTTTAAAAATAAAAATCATTCAAAAAATATTGATTAATTAAAAGATATTTTTACCAATAGTATAAATTTTTAAACACACGTTTGAAGTTAGAGAAAAAAATATTTTGAATTGATTATGAACATTGTACTTTTAATTCATGATCATATTGTGATTACTAAAATATTTCATGCATTGTGATTACACATCACTAATGTGGCCTAACACACTATAAGTACGTCTCAATCTTCTAATCATCATATTTTAAAGAATAATGTAAACTTCCTTGCTATCTCAACTTTATTTTAATTTTGAAGTTATTCCTATAGGGAAGACTTTTGAGTTGAAGTTCAAAATGATGAACTTGTCTAGAATTTTAATAGTGATGTACTTCCTTTGATAGATAACTACTGGTTTCCTACTTTCACCAAATTTGAGTCCTTGAAAGTACCATATTTCTCCTAGTTAAATTTCATATGTATTTTGAGGTTCTCAATCTTATTATGATTGCTCTCAATTAAGAGTAAATCATTTATATACAAGCATACTATGATAAGAATTCCCTGATTCAATCCTTTAACATAGATTAGATGCTCTAATATGCACTTGGAATAGCCAATGTGTTGAAACTCATGAATTCTATTATTCTATACTCTAAAAAAGTCTTATTAAGCTCTAAGATCTTGTCTTCCAACCTCTTTGCAATGAATCAATAAGATGTGTCAACATAAACATCTTATTTAAGGCATTCATTAAAAATACACTCTTTACATCAAGTTTAATAAGTTTTTGTATCACGAGTTTATCCGTAACCACTATTAATCTTCCAGATCCAAATATAATAACTAGTGCAAGACTTTATAAGAAATCAATGTAATATTTTTTCTACAATTCATTTGCAATAAGTCTTTCCTTGTGCTTTTCAAGGGAGCCATTTGGCATGTAATACACTAGTAAACCCATTTGACTATATATTTTTCCTGTCTTTTTATTAATGAGACTAGATTCCAAGTTTGATTCATCTCTACTACTTGAATATATCTATTCCTCCATAGCCTTCATCCTTACCACTTCCTTGGTTCCTTCGGCATAAGTGAATAGCTCAACATCAACCAATACACCTATGTGCTTTAAGTATCCATGTTAAAAAAAATCATTCTCTATGAGTTGATAGATGATTGGAAAACCATGTATCCAAGAATCATCCTTCAATATTTCCAAATTTGTCTTTATTATTACTATATGTGATTTTAATCCGAGTCACACTGATGTTGACTCGTATATGCCTTATTTTTAGCTTTTCTTGATCTTCTTGTAACAAATTTTCCTTCACACTCATCTTCAAAATGTCCATATCTCTAACATTTATAAAATTAATTATCCTTCTTGTTCATTGGTTTCTTTCCCTTTTGTCTTAATAAACACAATTATTTCTTGAAGAATATTCACTTTGATCAAAGTATTCCTTTGAGATTTCCTATTGGGTCACTCTTTTCTTGAACTTGTCATTCCCCATCAGCTTCTAGCCACTACCTTTTTGGAAGTTTGAGCTTTTCAGTTACATGTTCCTTGGTTTCTTCTAACACTCTTTTCTCATGGGCTTCCAAGGAACATTATAATTCTCTAATTTCGAAAATGACAAGTCATTTCATTCCTTATTTTCCATTTCAATATAATCAAATTTGGAGGAGAGAGTGCACATCATCATGTTTACTATGGTTTGTAAGATACTACCCCTTTGTAGATCTTTATCTATTCATTGACTTGTGTGATCTTGTTGAACTACTCACTAATATTCTCATTTGGTTCCATTTGCAAGAACTCGAATTGCCTCATCAATATGTGCAATCAGACTTCCTTGAGTTTGTCATCACCAACATGAAGCTTCTAAATAAAATTACTAGCCTCCTTCAATGATGTCGTAATATCATTTTTATATAAATTTATAGTACCAACATATTGATGAATAAATAACATTACCTTGACATTTTATTCTTGGATTATTTATGTGAAATACGCTGAGGATCAATTGCATCATTGTCGAGGGCCTGAGATTTTATGCTTCCTCTGGGTATATACTGGATTTTGTTTTCATATATTTCCACTACCAACGACACCATTCTTCCACCTAAATATGAATTTCTCAGGACCTATCAAACGAGACAGTTGGTTTTACTATTACTCGGTGTCCTAGAAAGTAGGGTCTAAGTTTCCTTGAATTTATCACAATCGCTAGAATAAGTCTTTCTATTTTTTTATACAGGGTCTCAACTATGTTAAACACCTTTCTATTGAAATAGACGGGTTGATCAACCATATATATCTCTTAGACAAGAATTACACCCATCCCTTGATAAGCAACAGAGAAACATATGTATAAAGGTGACCCTGCTACTGGGTGAGTTAATATGGGAAGAGACGTTAGGAAGGCCTTTAAATTTGGGAACACCTCCTCTTATTCTCTCATCCATTAGAAATTCTCCTTTTTATTCAGAGTGACAAAGAAAGAGAAAGCATGTTCACATGTACAAGAAAGCAAACAAGATATGGCGACTAAGTGTCTTGTTATTTATTGAACCTCTTTAACGGTGGAAAGGCTCCTCATGTCGAGGGTTGCTTAATAATTATCGAAGTTCGCCTCTATACCTCTCTTATTTAACATAGAGCCAAATAGTTTCATGTTTGTATGGAAAATAAGCACTTTGCGAGATTGAGGTGCATGTTGTAGTTCTTTTTTGGCCCTATGATATCTTCTATTATGTTGTGTGGATCTACCACTATGAGGTATTCATTATCATTTCATCAATATATATTTTCAGGTTTCACCATATCTACTTTGAGAACAATGTGTCAATGAGTCTCTGATAGGTTACGCCGATGTTTTTTAGCCCAAAGGGCATGACATTGTAATGATAGTTTCCATTATTTGACATGAACACCGTCTTAGGAACGTTCATGGGATCTATCTTCATCTGGTTTTATCCATAGTAGCCGTCAATAAGATGATTTTGTTGGGTAAAAGATATGAATCTTTGGGGCACAAAGTTATAAGGTAAGTAAATTTGACAAACTTACGCCATTTATTTGATTATTTCTTGACAAAAAAAAAACGTTAGCCAACCAAGATGGGTATTTTATCTTAGTAATGAAGCTATCATTTCTTAAATTTGGACCTCTTCACTAATGGTCTCTCTCTTCTCCTCACTTACCTTGCGTTTGCTTCCAGACATTGGTTTTATTACAGGATTGATTTCAAGGCATTGACATACCACCCTTGTATCTATTCCTAGCATATCAGAGGGAAACAAGGAGAACAAATTTATGTTCCTTCTCAGGAAAAAGATCAGATCCTTCTCCTCATACTCTTATAAGTAGATGCCTAGTTTAGTGACCTAATGATACAAAGGCCTAATATAGACTTATTTCAAGTCCTCAATGGGAGAAAGCCTCTCATTTTCGATTCCCAGTTAGGAATCCTAACTTGTGACATTTGTTTCTCATGCTTTTGTCTTAGGGGAAACATGTTGCCTTCTCATTTATAAAATGTTTTGATAGAGTTATTGGGAGACCTACTAGTACCCTTGGACTAACCCAACTCCCCCACTGAGTAGCAGATACTTCAAGCTCCAATGAAGGGTAGGCAAGACTGCCCCTAGCAAGTTTAGGGCGGGCCTCCCCAAAATGGCATTATATGGAGACAAGATGTCAACCATGAGATACTTTACTTTAATCATTTTTGTACTTGCTTCTAGGCCAAAGGTCGTTTCAAGTGTCATGTGGCCACTCAATTGTACATGTTATCTTGATAGACGCGCTATAGGCCATTGTAATGCTTTAATATTATTTGTGTCGAGATGGAACCTTTGAAAAGCACCCCTTGAAAATTCCAAAATAAAAAATCACTCGAGCTTCTTAGATTGATTAACACTCGATTTATATCCCAATCTCCATATTGTACTGTGGTAACCATGATGCCATTATTATGGGGGAGAATTCTAGTGGAATCCTTAGAGGAGAAGGTGACTTTGGATATTGGCTCTCTCCCTAGGATTTTGGAAATGCTAGCAGGTATGATGTTTGCTGTCAAAATATGCCTTGTATATTTCCTCTATGAGGCTCTAGACTCTCTTTCTCCAACAAAACTTTTGGCAATGGTGTTGACAACGGTTTCATAACTTCGTTTAAGCATCCTCCGAGGAAAGGTGGCAAAAACAAATGGTGAAATATGGTGAGTTTCACCAAGTTAAACTTTACCATGGTCCCATAATAGGCCCAATTGTAGTTGTTTAAAGTACAATACATGAGAACCTCTAATGATTAAGGATTTTCAAATACTTTTAGGGTTTATCGTGAGGTTTAGAGTCAGCTTATGTAGGAAGGTGAGAATAGTTGTATGTGGTATCTGCGTTATAAGATTCATCTCCTCCCAACTTGAGGGTTGAGGAATTTATAAGAGTCACTGGGCCTGGATTTCAGACTCCTAATCAGCAGTAACCACTTCTAGGAGAGTGGGGAAGTTGCAGTGAACTTCCTATTATTCAGGAGAACGTGATTAACTTTCCTTGACTCCTTATTCGCACCGTTGCTGGCT